GTATGTATTTTTCGATAGGATGGAGGAGTGACCGATGCTGCAGTGCTTTGATGGAAGGTGAGGTCGTGCATTGAACGATCCTTGTCACAAGTCCAAGTCCTGACCCTCTAAAATTTTTTACACCGGTTTTGCATGAATCAGGTGGACCACCCAGCTGGGAAAAGTGGTCCGGCCATGGCCGGACCAGCCGGACCGGTTCCGGCGGCCCTGGTGTGTGTGTGTGTGTGTGTGTGTGTGTGTGTGTGTGTGTGTGTGTGTGTGTGTGTGTGTGTGTGTGTGTGTGTGTGTGTGTGTGTGTGTGTGTGTGTGTGTGTGTGTGTGTGTGTGTGTGTGTGTGTGTGTGTGTGTGTGTGTGTGTGTGTGTGTGTGTGTGTGTGTGTGTGTGTGTGTGTGTGTGTGTGTGTGTGTGTGTGTGTGTGTGTGTGTGTGTGTGTGTGTGTGTGTGTGTGTGTGTGTGTGTGTGTGTGTGTGTGTGTGTGTGTGTGTGTGTGTGTGTGTGTGTGTGTGTGTGTGTGTGTGTGTGTGTGTGTGTGTGTGTGTGTGTGTGTGTGTGTGTGTGTGTGTGTGTGTGTGTGTGTGTGTGTGTGTGTGTGTGTGTGTGTGTGTGTGTGTGTGTGTGTGTGTGTGTGTGTGTGTGTGTGTGTGTGTGTGTGTGTGTGTGTGTGTGTGTGTGTGTGTGTGTGTGTGTGTGTGTGTGTGTGTGTGTGTGTGTGTGTGTGTGTGTGTGTGTGTGTGTGTGTGTGTGTGTGTGTGTGTGTGTGTGTGTGTGTGTGTGTGTGTGTGTGTGTGTGTGTGTGTGTGTGTGTGTGTGTGTGTGTGTGTGTGTGTGTGTGTGTGTGTGTGTGTGTGTGTGTGTGTGTGTGTGTGTGTGTGTGTGTGTGTGTGTGTGTGTGTGTGTGTGTGTGTGTGTGTGTGTGTGTGTGTGTGTGTGTGTGTGTGTGTGTGTGTGTGTGTGTGTGTGTGTGTGTGTGTGTGTGTGTGTGTGTGTGTGTGTGTGTGTGTGTGTGTGTGTGTGTGTGTGTGTGTGTGTGTGTGTGTGTGTGTGTGTGTGTGTGTGTGTGTGTGTGTGTGTGTGTGTGTGTGTGTGTGTGTGTGTGTGTGTGTGTGTGTGTGTGTGTGTGTGTGTGTGTGTGTGTGTGTGTGTGTGTGTGTGTGTGTGTGTGTGTGTGTGTGTGTGTGTGTGTGTGTGTGTGTGTGTGTGTGTGTGTGTGTGTGTGTGTGTGTGTGTGTGTGTGTGTGTGTGTGTGTGTGTGTGTGTGTGTGTGTGTGTGTGTGTGTGTGTGTGTGTGTGTGTGTGTGTGTGTGTGTGTGTGTGTGTGTGTGTGTGTGTGTGTGTGTGTGTGTGTGTGTGTGTGTGTGTGTGTGTGTGTGTGTGTGTGTGTGTGTGTGTGTGTGTGTGTGTGTGTGTGTGTGTGTGTGTGTGTGTGTGTGTGTGTGTGTGTGTGTGTGTGTGTGTGTGTGTGTGTGTGTGTGTGTGTGTGTGTGTGTGTGTGTGTGTGTGTGTGTGTGTGTGTGTGTGTGTGTGTGTGTGTGTGTGTGTGTGTGTGTGTGTGTGTGTGTGTGTGTGTGTGTGTGTGTGTGTGTGTGTGTGTGTGTGTGTGTGTGTGTGTGTGTGTGTGTGTGTGTGTGTGTGTGTGTGTGTGTGTGTGTGTGTGTGTGTGTGTGTGTGTGTGTGTGTGTGTGTGTGTGTGTGTGTGTGTGTGTGTGTGTGTGTGTGTGTGTGTGTGTGTGTGTGTGTGTGTGTGTGTGTGTGTGTGTGTGTGTGTGTGTGTGTGTGTGTGTGTGTGTGTGTGTGTGTGTGTGTGTGTGTGTGTGTGTGTGTGTGTGTGTGTGTGTGTGTGTGTGTGTGTGTGTGTGTGTGTGTGTGTGTGTGTGTGTGTGTGTGTGTGTGTGTGTGTGTGTGTGTGTGTGTGTGTGTGTGTGTGTGTGTGTGTGTGTGTGTGTGTGTGTGTGTGTGTGTGTGTGTGTGTGTGTGTGTGTGTGTGTGTGTGTGTGTGTGTGTGTGTGTGTGTGTGTGTGTGTGTGTGTGTGTGTGTGTGTGTGTGTGTGTGTGTGTGTGTGTGTGTGTGTGTGTGTGTGTGTGTGTGTGTGTGTGTGTGTGTGTGTGTGTGTGTGTGTGTGTGTGTGTGTGTGTGTGTTGTGTGTGTGTGTGTGTGTGTGTGTGTGTGTGTGTGTGTGTGTGTGTGTGTGTGTGTGTGTGTGTGTGTGTGTGTGTGTGTGTGTGTGTGTGTGTGTGTGTGTGTGTGTGTGTGTGTGTGTGTGTGTGTGTGTGTGTGTGTGTGTGTGTGTGTGTGTGTGTGTGTGTGTGTGTGTGTGTGTGTGTGTGTGTGTGTGTGTGTGTGTGTGTGTGTGTGTGTGTGTGTGTGTGTGTGTGTGTGTGTGTGTGTGTGTGTGTGTGTGTGTGTGTGTGTGTGTGTGTGTGTGTGTGTGTGTGTGTGTGTGTGTGTGTGTGTGTGTGTGTGTGTGTGTGTGTGTGTGTGTGTGTGTGTGTGTGTGTGTGTGTGTGTGTGTGTGTGTGTGGTGTGTGTGTGTGTGTGTGTGTGTGTGTGTGTGTGTGTGTGTGTGTGTGTGTGTGTGTGTGTGTGTGTGTGTGTGTGTGTGTGTGTGTGTGTGTGTGTGTGTGTGTGTGTGTGTGTGTGTGTGTGTGTGTGTGTGTGTGTGTGTGTGTGTGTGTGTGTGTGTGTGTGTGTGTGTGTGTTGTGTGTGTGTGTGTGTGTGTGTGTGTGTGTGTGTGTGTGTGTGTGTGTGTGTGTGTGTGTGTGTGTGTGTGTGTGTGTGTGTGTGTGTGTGTGTGTGTGTGTGTGTGTGTGTGTGTGTGTGTGTGTGTGTGTGTGTGTGTGTGTGTGTGTGTGTGTGTGTGTGTGTGTGTGTGTGTGTGTGTGTGTGTGTGTGTGTGTGTGTGTGTGTGTGTGGTGTGTGTGTGTGTGTGTGTGTGTGTGTGTGTGTGTGTGTGTGTGTGTGTGTGTGTGTGTGTGTGTGTGTGTGTGTGTGTGTGTGTGTGTGTGTGTGTGTGTGTGTGTGTGTGTGTGTGTGTGTGTGTGTGTGTGTGTGTGTGTGTGTGTGTGTGTGTGTGTGTGTGTGTGTGTGTGTGTGTGTGTGTGTGTGTGTGTGTGTGTGTGTGTGTGTGTGTGTGTGTGTGTGTGTGTGTGTGTGTGTGTGTGTGTGTGTGTGTGTGTGTGTGTGTGTGTGTGTGTGTGTGTGTGTGTGTGTGTGTGTGTGTGTGTGTGTGTGTGTGTGTGTGTGTGTGTGTGTGTGTGTGTGTGTGTGTGTGTGTGTGTGTGTGTGTGTGTGTGTGTGGTGTGTGTGTGTGTGTGTGTGTGTGTGTGTGTGTGTGTGTGTGTGTGTGTGTGTGTGTGTGTGTGTGCCCTCTGTGCCTTCTGACTGCTGGTTTGATGCTGCCCAGGACCGCTCTGCCTGGAGGCAGATTGCTCATCGTCGTCCTCCCGCCCGTGCTCCCCCTGATCCTGACTCTGGCTTCCGCTGCGCGTGTGGAAAGGTCTGCCGTAGTCCCGAGGATCTCAAGCGCCACGCTCCGTAGATCTACTGCAATACAAAGCTAGCAGATTGTCCCTTCGCTATCATTGCCATCGGCAATGGGCACGTTCAAGGTTCACGGTGTGTGTGTGTGTGTGTGTGTGTGTGTGTGTGTGTGTGTGTGGTGTGTGTGTGTGTGTGTGTGTGTGTGTGTGTGTGTGTGTGTGTGTGTGTGTGTGTGTGTGTGTGTGTGTGTGTGTGTGTGTGTGTGTGTGTGTGTGTGTGTGTGTGTGTGTGTGTGTGTGTGTGTGTGTGTGTGTGTGTGTGTGTGTGTGTGTTGTGTGTGTGTGTGTGTGTGTGTGTGTGTGTGTGTGTGTGTGTGTGTGTGTGTGTGTGTGTGTGTGTGTGTGTGTGTGTGTGTGTGTGTGTGTGTGTGTGTGTGTGTGTGTGTGTGTGTGTGTGTGTGTGTGTGTGTGTGTGTGTGGTGTGTGTGTGTGTGTGTGTGTGTGTGTGTGTGTGTGTGTGTGTGTGTGTGTGTGTGTGTGTGTGTGTGTGTGTGTGTGTGTGTGTGTGTGTGTGTGTGTGTGTGTGTGTGTGTGTGTGTGGTGTGTGTGTGTGTGTGTGTGTGTTGTGTGTGTGTGGTGTGTGTGTGTGTGTGTGTGTGTGTGTGTGTGTGTGTGTGTGTGTGTGTGTGTGTGTGTGTGTGTGTGTGTGTGTGTGTGTGTGTGTGTGTGTGTGTGTGTGTGTGTGTGTGTGTGTGTGTGTGTGTGTGTGTGTGTGTGTGTGTGTGTGTGTGTGTGTGTGTGTGTGTGTGTGTGTGTGTGTGTGTGTGTGTGTGTGTGTGTGTGTGTGTGTGTGTGTGTGTGTGTGTGTGTGTGTGTGTGTGTGTGTGTGTGTGTGTGTGTGTGTGTGTGTGTGTGTGTGTGTGTGTGTGTGTGTGTGTGTGTGTGTGTGTGTGTGTGTGTGTGTGTGTGTGTGTGTGTGTGTGTGTGTGTGTGTGTGTGTGTGTGTGTGTGTGTGTGTGTGTGTGTGTGTGTGTGTGTGTGTGTGTGTGTGTGTGTGTGTGTGTGTGTGAGAGAGAGAGAGAGAGAGAGAGAAGAGAGAGAGAGAGAGAGAGAGAGAGAGAGAGAGAGAGAGAGAGAGAGAGAGAGAGAGAGAGAGAGAGAGAGAGAGAGAGAGAGAGAGAGAGAGAGAGTGAGAGAGAGAGAGAGAGAGAGAAAGAGAGCGATACAGAGCACTCACTCAAGTCACTGATCGTCGACGCGTCAGCACGACCACTCTCACATACTACTAAAGTTTGTACACATTTTCGTTTTGCAGAACCTCTCTAGTATGATACGATCGGATGACAGTGACATAGAAAATCCCTAGCCAGATAACTCATATTCATAATGTCAAAAAGGTACTGGGAGATCTACAAACCTGCAAGCCACCTCGAGCCTAATCTGACTTGGCAATCAGCCCTGCACTCAGGCTGCAGCGCCCGCGATGACCGCGCGCCACCTGCACCTGGAGATGATTTACCCCCCTGTGTACTCTGTACTCTGTCAGTCTCTGCGCGGATTCCACGATCCGGACGGCTAAAACAAGATAGTAGAACTGATAGTGACATGATCCTGTCAGACTACAGTCGAGACTTTTCCTAGGTCCTACTTCTAATGAGTGGCAACACCTAGTACCTGTACAGCCAGCTAGCCTTACTGCTGCTACAGTACTCAGCTCAGATCAGTAGTGTAGGATACAACATTTTTGTAGTGTGGCCGGCAGTGTAGACAGTTGTGGCGTTAGGACGTGGACAACGGGAACTGAGCTGTCTGAAGTGAAGGCAGTTCGGTCATCCATCATTACGGCTAGCTCCAAGCTCCATCGCGTGCAAGGCCAAGCATGTGCTGGCGCTAGTCGGTAACGTTCAAACAGTAACTGGCACGGCACAGGCTCAGTAGCGAAAGTAAGAGAGGGTGAGCGTGGGGAGCTGAGGTGATCGTAACTGGCCCGTTATCCCTTGTCTAGCCACGAGCTGCAGAAAATACAGCTGACAGCCGTCAGTTTCCTCAGCGTTCTAAAAACGAAAGTCGAAAGTAAGTTTGGCAATGGGAGAACGCGAGCATTTCCGACACTGCAAGACGCACGCGGCTACCCTGCGGTGAAATGTGCCTCCTCTCCTCTGCCTCAATACTCTATCACCAGTGTTAGACAGTGCCCGTCATAGTTTATCCGGCAATATTGATAAACGACTAGAAGCCGTGATTGATTGCGATGGTGCTGCAAGTGCTTAGCGGGTAATGGAAGGTTTGAGACTTCCGATTGTAATCCTCTTCATGTCGCTTTGCCTTGGAGAGGTACGTCTTTGTTTGTCGGTCGTGCCGAGCTCAAGTACGAGACTCGAGGTCTTGTGGGGCTCCTGTGAGGGCATGTGTGGCGTCTCGGAAGTTCTGTCGGTCGACAAAACAACCGAGGATGTGGTCGGGAACGGGAAGAGCGACGCGAGGAATGTGGAACTGAACTCCGCTCGTGGATGCTCGTGCGTGGAGTCATGTAGAACTGAGGGTGTTTGCTGCATTGATTACGACGAGAGGTGTGCAACAGGAGTTTCAGGGCGTCCGCCACAGCGGCGTGCTTCTGTTGGAACAGGCGACGGAGTCATCGGTAGTGCCGCTGCTGTTGAGTATGCACGTGTTAGTAGTCGATCGGTGAACCGTCGCTTACTGAGCATCAACAGCAGTCAAGATATCGATGCTGACAATTCAACAGACATTTTCAATGCGACGGAATCGGTTCCGACGGAATCAGTAGTACAGACGGAGGAGACAGCATCCAGCTCAATGCTTCCAGGCAGTACAACACCAATGCTCCAGTCTGTAACTCCCAACTCAAGCAGCTCAAACAACAGCCACAGCAGCACACAAACGCCAACAACAACAGTAGGTCCTCAGCAGCCGACTGTCGGCATGACAACGCTTGCTGAGCAGATTACATCATCAGTAAGCTTTGTCGATTCGAGTGGAGTAAGCAGCCCATCCCCATCGGTCTCCATGACTACCATGAACACCTCCAACACGACAGGAACAGGTACGCTACAGATGAACACTAGCACATCGTCTCCCAGCTTACTACCGACAACAACAACGGACGAAGAAAATGACACGTTATCAACAATTGTTCCCTCAAATCCGAGAGGAACGACACTATCCACAACGTCTCCGACAGCTCCAAGAGGAACAATGTCGTCGTCCATGACATCCCCCCCAACTGCAGGAGGAACAATGCAGTCCCTTGCAACGTCCCCTCCAACTCGAACATTTCCGTCGTCCACCACGTCCCCTCCAACGCAAGGAGGAACAATGCAGTCCCCTCCAACGTCTCCTCCAACAAACCCGGGAGGAACGACAATACCATCTACCGCAACGACCCCGTCAAGCCAAACAAGTACTAACATATCAGCAACAACAACCGAACTGAACCAGACAACACCAGCAAGTAACCGGAGTACGGACCAGCCGACTTTTCCTACGCCGTCAACTGTGCCGGCGGCACAACCACCGGATGCCGTGGATCGACAACTACTTGATGGGTCGATTTCTTACATATTTGTTGACAGCAACGTCAGCTTCATCAACACCAGTAGATGGATGGAAAACTTTCAGTAAGTTGTGAAAGCCAAAAAGACAGGTCCCATCAGCAGTAGTGTCTCAGTTGGCCGTTCAGATAGAGTTTGGTTATCCTCTGGACGCTACCGCAGGGTTTAGGATCCCTCACTGCACATTGTTTGAAGTATTCATGTTGTAGTCGATGGACTTTGTTGATGAATGATTCTATGTGATTCACCGTGCATGTGTTTGGCCGGGATATTTAGCTTTTACATGTGCATCAACAGGGTTCTAACCAGGTCAAAATAGTAGGGGGGGGGGGGGGGGGACAGTTACCCCGTAACTCATTTTTCCCCTTTTCAAAATAACTGAAAATGGGGCAAACACCTGACTTCACCCCAGACAAATGTGCCTTCATGAACCCTCTACACCTGTAGTACTGACTATTGACTGCATTTTCGTTGAATTGCATGAAAAACACAAAAATCGGAAAATGAGTAGGGGGCACTTCTTCACAGGGGGGATTGCGCAAACAGAGTAGGAGGGGGGGGGGGCTGCTCCCCCTACCCCCCTTTGGCTAGAACGCTGATTAATTTACTTTACTTTTACTCCAGTCTCCTGCCCTATAATATCGAGATGTAGTCACGTACACATGTGCGCACACCACCTATTGACTCACCAGCCTACACTACAGTGTAATCTGCACATGGCTGATCATCGCACGTGACGTGCTTGGAATGCAGTGGCAAACTCGTGTTAGTACTCATGCCATTCCATTCGAAACGAGTCGAATGATGATGACTGTATTAAGCGCATAGGCGTTAGGCCAAAACAAAAAATAGGCTTGTTTCCGGTCGGCAACCCCTCAAAAAGGAGACTCGGTCGGCCGGAATGAAACCTTTTTTGGATACTTTTTTTGGTTCCTGGTATTGATGGACAATAGCACCTGCACATGTACATTGTAGATATATCATGGCAAGGATCAATGTCAGAGTTGACTGACTCACTGTTCTTGTACAGCATGTGGTGTATTCCTGTTTTCGTACATCCTGAGAAATCAAGCAAACAGTTCGAGTCCTTCCAGCTCCGTTATTCTAGCTCGTATTGACCCCGGAGGTTTTCGAGCCGACAACTGAGAATCTTTGCTACCTTGTGGGTGTTTCGATTGTGGAATTCGGTTGAGATTTGACTGAGTTATGACTCGTTGGCCACCGTTTGTATACATTTGGGACCAAAAAAAAGTTTCAGAATTTGGGAAAAAGTGGCCCGGTCGGGCGACCGGAAACAAGGTCATTATTTGTTTTGGCCTTATGGCATATACTTACTTCTTGTGTGCAGATCACAGTTGGGCCTTATCTGGCAGAGCTACCTCTATCATGGCGAGACTGACGAGGCACGGCTTCTGCAAAACAGCAGCACTGTGGAGATAGTCAACCGCACTCCGTTCCTGCACAACATGAGCGACGAGCGCGAGGGAATCGAGATGGCCTTCTACGTGCGCTTCAACGGGACGCTCGTGAACAATTCTCAGTTTCCGATCGTGCTGAACTGGGTACTGCCTGTTCGGCGCATGATTCAGGATCGGGTGAGTTACACTGCCGGTGCAATGTGATGTATGGAGATTAGATAATATGATGAGCTTGCGCATAGTGCAAAATTGAGTTTTATAACTGATTGCTACTAAACTTTCTTGGAGACAGGACGCTTATCAGGGACAGAGAAACTACAAATCTCAAGATATTACTAATTACTACAGTGCTGGCAACTGAAATCCGACCCCCCTAGCGTCTCGTACTACGAATCGCTAACGCGGCTAGCGCACCGCTAGGGGGGGGGGGGGTTCAGTTGCCAGCACTGTACTTCAAAAGGTAGTTACTAATTAACGCTGGCCTCGAGCGAAGGTCCCTGGTTCGAGTCCTGGTGGTGACAGTCAATTTTTCTTCAGACGTTTCCCGTTCGCATCTTTTTCCTCAGATTAATTAATTCTAAGGAATAAATTGGAGGCGTATCCAATTTCGAAAGAAGTGTCAGCACCGACGCAATTTATTTTAAACTAGTTAATTAACTACGTGAATAAGCTTTTGTGCATAGCTAATTGACTCGTTAACTCATAGTAATTAGAATGGCCAACGGTCCTCAGCGTTTGTTCAGCACCTCCAAGAACGACAATGACTCTCGCTGTTAGCTGGTGTTCACGAGGTGTTTGTCGCGCTGGAAACAGAGCGTCTCTGTAAGTTTATATCCCTGGTGATGGTTTGGTCTGGAGAGCCGCACTATAGAAGTGGTGCTCTTCAGGCACAATCTTCCTCAGCCTACTCAAGCTCAACTGATGAGGGGTGAATTCCCTGAAACACTGTGTATTGAGCAGGAAACTTGCAGGTTTGCCGAGTGGAAGGTTCGATGGACTTCTCGTGTGCTCTGGATGGCAGTCGTGACTCGTGAGTCAATCAAGTGAGAATTCAAGTCTGCAGGAAAAGCACGAGCTTCCACGAAAGGGAACAACACACAATTCCCCAAGTATCACCGAAGTTGCACCAACCTTTTTCTTCTAACAAATAATTACTGTTGCCCAAATCCTGTAGCAAGTCCTTTCCAAAGATCAGGTTTATATGTAGTGACAGATCAAATATAGCCCCGGGACTGTATTTGTTTTGTGTTTGATCTCTCGAAGGCCGGACTGTTGATGCACAATCTTCACTGTACCTCTATTTTTCACGTACAATAGGTTTCGGAAGTACAATGAAACCTGGGCCTTACGAATTTTGTTCGCGCTAGCCGTTGTCGTGGGGTCCAGCTCTGCAAAATACTGGGCCATGAACTGGAGCAATGCACTAGCAGATTGCCCACAGGTCCGCGTTTCATTGAACATGACTGTTAATTAGTCCTTGCTGTGACCTCTCAGAGGTCACCCTGACGACGACATTGTATCGCCATCATGGCTTAGGTTTGTGTCACACTGCAATTTCAAATTTAAAAAAAATGACAAAACCCAATGAAGCAAGCCATGGAAGCCAATAAAAAATGGAACCAAAATTGGTGAGAGCCACGTTGAAGGACATGTAGTCTATGGGCCGAACTTGTATTCTGGGTACCGAATTGAATTGCCTAGATCGAAGGTGGGAGCCTGCTATACTTATATATCGGTCGACAGATGGCCAGTGCTGTTTTCTTTGGACCCTGTTTGATTGGGTAACGATGTGTTGCAGAGGCCTTAGACCATGTACTGAGTATCTGAGTATCTTATTAGCCTGAGGACCACTATCAAGTAGGAAGTGTTTGCAAGACCGAATTGATAACTTCACTAGTTTTACGACCAACACACACGCCCTCTAATCTTAATCGCCGGATGCACATTGCTCGGTGCATTGATTGCGGACACCGCACAATCCAAGTGAAGAAGACCGTATGATAACATTGAAATCTTCTGATCATGAACGAGTGTGATTATTGAGAACACAAATATGTATGCCATGGATGTTTCTCTCTATATTTGTGGGTTGCACCGAACTGGCTGTCCAGTCCCCAGCTCCAATTATGGGAATATGCCAGAAATGAAGTCTTAACTCTTAACAATTCCAGTGAAATGGCAATCAACGACTGTCTCTATTACAATTAGCTGGCTTATAATATCCCAGAAGTGAGGCTCAAGCTGAACAAACTCCTAGCTGACAGGGAGTGCCACGTCAATGTTGAGCTTGAGCTTCACTTGTGGCCTTCAAGTTGACTGGAATTGTACCGTGGCCTGACAGCATAAAGTTTGTTTGGCAATTGACTAGAGCTTCACTTCTGATCTACAAGTATGCCATACAGGTGACTGTATTGACCTACAATGGAACTTTGAAAAGACATACTGTAAGAATTGCAATTATAACGAGGAAGTAAATCTAACGTTTTAACGAGTGACATTTCTCGGTTATAATTATTGTAATAAGTTCTGTTGAAGCTGTAAGGCATCACACTGTTAAACTGGAAAGTCTAATGACCAAAAAGTTTAACGTTCTTGTAATTCTGGCATGATTACGTGCAGAAAGTTTAACGATGGCTACCTGGCCACCCATCTGTATGCGCATCTTTACTCAGACAACTAGAAATAAGGTTTTTTTCAAATACCGAAAAACAATTGGTCGTTAAAACGTTAGACTTTCCGGTTTTACAGTAATCATTGTTGTGTCATGTGCGGCTATGTCTGAAGACTGCAAGATTGTTAACATGATAATTATCCTCTCATTTGCCTACTTATATGGATTCTGGACAATCGTCAATTTAGCAACTCGTTATAGTAACACGTCTTACCGGTAGCAAGTATACCCCTGGGATTACCGAGTGTGCGTAATAAAAAAATATTACTTGAAGTACTATGAAGAAGAGGTTGGTGCGACTTCTCGTGTGCTCTGGATGGCAGCCGTGAGTTAGTCAAATGAGAATTCATGTCGACAGGAATAGCGCAAGCTCCCACGTAGGGAGCAACACACAATTCTTGTAGTATTATGTTGACTAATAATGTGCACTCTCTGTTGCTTTCTGCTGTAGCTACGAGTCACCATCCATGATGTGCGGCCTGTCTCACCTGAGCTTTATGTAAGTTAACGCTAGGCAGTTTCTCTTTCCTTCGAAAATCTGTGCTATGGAACCCCGTTAATAACTTAAGACGTACGTAGATAAGACGAAAAAAGAAGACCTAGTATTTGCAACTTTCTTGGCACTGTATGCTTGCTGGTCATGAACAATGGATAAGAACTCACACTGTTATTGAGTATTTTAAAAGTCTGTTGGTCCCTTGCAGCTTGGTGCTGGTGGTAGTCATGCATTTCACACCAGTAAGCCTGAAGAGGTTTGGCCATGCATTACAGCAGAGATGTTATCATGACATGGTGTACTTACACACACGCACACACCAGAGGCGCACTATGATATACCTTGAGGGCTGAGCCAATGATCATTCATTGCAGTTACACACCACTGGCCAAGCTTCCTTTGCCCACTATACCGTTTCGATACAATTATGAAGATGACAAAAACATTTAATATAAGCTGCGGACAACGTGCAAAAAAGCCAAAGGGCAATGAGCAGACAACAACAAACACATTACCGAACTCACTCGATTAGAATCCCCTCTCGAATAATCCCCCCCCCCCCCCCTTGCCACGAACGTTCAAAATAATGCAAGTCCCTCTCGAATAGAAGCGCAGACCACCACTATCCACAAAGCATGGCCCGGGTGACAAAGCAGTTCCAGGACCATATACTGTGTGGTATACACACGTACAAAACATCTCATGTATGTACATGTATGTACATACCACATACATACCAGCGCATGACCAGGTCAACGCAGCCAGTGCTTGTGAACAAACCCGAGGGCGATTTTCTCTCCGCACTGCTGTTTGTAACGTGACTACTGCATGATGGTACTGTGCCATTCTCTTGCTTGTGCATACACAGATAGATACAGAGATAACGTTAATGCCGGTGTGGATTGATCTAGTCAGTCCCTCTTGAATAGAAGCTTCCTGAAGATGGGCATTGAAAAAATTGACCCCCCCCCCCCCCTCGATTCTAATCGAGTGAATAATTATGGTGTATACTGGCACCTGTTATGCATCAGAAAGGTTTTGGGTTTTTTTTGGGGGGGGGGCATCTGAAAAGGAGTGCTTGAGTACACTGGGATCAGTAATGCACTGTGCAACACCCTACACAACCACCCCCGGGCGGTTGTATAGGGTATTGGTGGCACAGACGACGTTACTGCTCAATGTCAGCCAGTATAGTATGCATGTACAGGTGGCTTACAGCCGGCAAGTAGACAGGTGCACGGTCTATAGCCTGAGCTATGCAGCCAGTGCTGTGCAGGGTGCGGGATACTTGAACAACGACAGCAACGGCCGTAACAGTTCAAAACTCCTGCGAGTAGACTCCGTTGTTGATTGACACATTGCATGTCTGCCGGCTGGAGAGCCTGAGCATCCTGAGCATCTTGGTGTGTTTGATCCTGGGTATCAGGGAATCGTAAAATACCTATTTACGACTCCCTGCTGGGTATCCTAGTGCATTCAGCATCGGTAGTGCAGTAGGAAAGGTTCGCTGGTAGATTGCACTCGAAAAATTGCAAACACTTCTCCTGAGATTATGAGTTTATCTGCCAATCGCAAAGCACTGGGTGCATATTGCGCAGCATTGTGTGCTACCACAACCCACGGTGCTATTCTGCTTGTCTGTTGTCCGTTTGTTAGAGGGAGATTCTAGGCGAAGAGCCAACACGTCCATCATCCTCCTCACCATCATCAACAACAACATCATTGTCGCCATCATCATCACCATCGTCCGTAATAGGGACAGACACCGCTTTGCCACCGCTGGAGATGAGCAGCATCAGTTCAGACCTCTTGGCGTTCGAACTGCCACTCGCCATTGCCCTGTTTGTCCTCATGCTCCTTGTGGCAGTATTCATGTTTGTTCTGAGACTGCGTGCCAAGCAGAGACGGGTCAAGTATCCCTCTGCGAAGACACGTCAGAGGTGAGACCTTGGAATCACGGTGCAGTCGCCTAGTCTATCACTGCTTATGAAGTTGTCACACAATGGAAGCATGACCAACCTTGCACAAAAGAATGCATTCCTTTTCTGGGCTCCCTTTGGAAGCATGCTCTGAAGTACCAAGACCGCTGACAATAGAATAGAAATGTAGCTATCACCAGGCGGCGGTTGCGTAGAGTACACGCCAAAACATACACACGATGTATGTCAGTCTAGACAGATCAAGCATATCTGTAGTACCGAATCACCCTACCGTATGTCAGTCTAGACAGATCAAGCATGTCTGTTGTACCGAATCACCCTATGATGTATTCCACAGCAGCCAATCGCACTATTGAGCTGCATTGCAGGGATCGATGTAGCCAGACTGGTTCACAGTATGCTTGGGAGCCAGGTAGTCCCTCTAAAGTGTAAACAAATGTTTGAAGAAGAGGCTTGTATCGACTTTGGCAATACTTGAGAAATTGTGTGTGGGGAGCACAAACTGGTAGAGAGCAACACACAGTCTGTAAATTGTGATCTCCAAACTTCAGCTATTCTCTATCTACACATGGCATCACCCCACAGGTGGAGAACATTAGACACTAGCATGATATCAGGAGTTCCATAACCAACATTGAGCAAGAGACATTGGGCAACTATGTATTTTATACGGTAGAGATGTGATATCAACAGCAGTGCAAAGAAGAGTAGCCAAAACCAACACGGTAAAAAGCATAACTTGGGCACTGTACAGTGTGCGTAGTGTGCAACACCTATAGAGTTCTCTGGAGCATAGTGTGCAACACCTATAGAGTTCTCTGGAGCTGGGAACAGTCTCAGCCCGGCGGAATGTTTCTACTGCATCATGTTAGTGGGAGTACGATCAGATGCGGAGACCTTTCCCATGCGTTCAGGCTGGGAATGTACGCTGCGGTGTAGCTCATCAGATCTAAGACGCATGAATCCACTATCTCTAGGTCTATTTCAGCAGCTGTAGCGGACACTCGCAAGTTCTTTGCATTTTTTCATCACTAGCTACGCATGATGGCATCAGTGTGCAGCCCGTGACGTGGCCACCGTTGAAAACAGGGATGTCAAGGAAAAATTCTGCCATGGACTACCAAGGGATCGCTATGTTTGGGGAAACACTGTAGCACGTGACAAACATGGACGAAATGTTTTTGTACTGTTCCCTGTACTGTTCCCCGCTTGTTTGCTTGATGTGTTCATCCAGATCGTCAAGACGGTTCATGACCGAGACCAGGACCAATGGTCATCATCCCCACACCTCTGTGTATGACAATCCCGATGCCGATGTAAAGACAGATTATGAGGACAATCCCTATCCGGGACCGGTGTTGAATATGCACCGGCATAGCGTGACCGAGGGGCCGATGACGCCCATCGTCATCGTTGGGCCACAGGGTGCGGCGCCCGCGCCTGTAATGCCAGTAGCTGCGCCCAGAAGCACACGGAGTTCTGTTGTTGGCAGACAAAGCGACGCAGAGCTTCCATCATCAGTGGAATACCTACGAGTACATCAGCCCAATACGACTCCACTTTGAAATTGGCCGCCAGTCACTGTGCCAATTCTATAACCCGGTACCCATCTAATTCTCCAGCTATTTTTCTCCACAGCATTCAACAGCCCAGCGGCGTTGAAGTGGTGACTTCTATTTAAAGAATTCCGTGAAACATGACCTGTTCGGACTCTGAACAGTAAGTGCCCCTTTTGACTACTTCGTTCTGCACTACCCCCGAGTCCATACTTGCCAAACTTTGCCGTGCGTAAACTTGATTACAACATATTGCATGTGAGTCTCTTTTATATGAAATGTTTGCCAGTATTTCGGCAGGCAAGTCTGTTTTTCCCCTGCTGTAGACGTAACAACAGCAGCATGAGCCGCTCAGCAGCTTTGGGTGTGTCTCACCACTGATTGAGGTCATGATCCTGTGTAGCACATGTGGCAGTGTTAGTGGCATAGTTTCACGCCCGTTTCTAGTATTTCTGCATTATGTAACCGTATAAGAACGTTGAATCCAGGCCTGCATTGGCACGGTTAGATCTTTCATTTACTGTAAACACTCTTCTCTGCTTAGAAAAGTTAATACTCAGTGACTACAGAAGTATACGTACACTGAACTGTATGTTATTCCAGGATTTCTGAACTTGCCGAAAAAAATTAATATTTTTTGGGGACAGAAGCCCTTCTTTGCGTTCTATGGGTAACACTATGAGAGAGTATGAGTACACTCACATGATGTATGACCACGCAGACGTGAAACTCGGCCAGCAACTTGGTCATAGCTTGTAACTTATGATGCATCAGGCTTCGTGTTTGCAGCCTGGGGGTGGGAATGACTTTACAAGAGACCATCGCAGCCTGGTAGCGGCAATCATCGGACCCTTGTATTGTATTGTATTGTATTGTATTGTATTGTATTGTATTGTATTGTATTGTATTGTACATGTGGTACAAGAATATTAGTAGCCCAATGGCCACATTTTGTGCAATGGTTGAAATTCAATTTTGGCTTTTCAAGAACCTCTACTATCCCGACTACGCTTTTATGCGCAAGGTACTGTACCAGCAGTCAAATCTTGAAAATGCTTTCCTTGTCATTTCGGCCATCATAACACTAATGGTCATAACCCTCAAATCCTATTGTGTATGGGTGTGTGCGTGTGAATGTTATCGATATTGGTTCAGTGAACCCAACTTGGAAAAACTGATGTGTCATATGATATCCATAATGCCCCCCCCCCCCCCCCGTGGTGTATTTCCGTGATACATGTACTATATGTACTATGTCATGTACATGTCCGTACGATTCTGAGATACGGCCAGCCTTCAGTGCTGTGGCATCCTGGTATGCGAGGTTATGCTGCTGGCTTCTCAGTACTACATGTAGTAGATCCACTACAATGCAACCTTACTTCACAGTAATCGTTCTTATACTACAACTGAGTTAGCTTTATTTTCTTAAACTCCCTCATAAAGCCACAATGGCACAAGGGTGGACATTTGGAGATTATCAAGTACAAGTACAAGTACAAGACTTAGTAATGTTACTCACTCTACTGACTCTACTGAGTAGTCAGTCCCTTTACGATTACATCATGATGTATAACACGTGCATGTACAGTATGGTTGACGTATCCTGTATAGACCCTCTTGCATGTTGAATAGAAGAACAGCATCACGTGGTACAGTACAATCATCTTGCTTGCACTAGTACGTATAGTACAGTCAGACCTCGTATGACCGTACACATCCGTTTTCCAGAAACATATCCGAATAGGCGAGGGAAGCGGATAATCGAACACACAAACTGTATGTGTGCATGGCATATTGTATGCTGTAAATTGGTAACCAAGGATTTTCTTCCAGATGGCGAGGGATCCGGATAAAAGAGGACCGGATAAGCGAGGTCTGACTGTACCAAGAGTCCATAACCCCTGCATGGGGTTGTGGACTCTTGCTAGCAGGGAGTCGTAAAATACCGGTATTTTACGACTCCCTGCTTGCTAGTACGTTTAGAGTTGTGGTGACATGTGCATGAAACAAAACTAATTTGTAGTTGTACTTGCAAATATAAAAATGTAATACGCCCATCCCTAACAGGCTCGCTGGTGCCTGATGCCCAATGGGCGAAATATTGGCAGTAAATTTTCTTTATGTTTTGCAACTGTGAACATGTTCGGGATGGAGGTATTTGCAAGTTGAAAGAAAATGATGCAGTGAAGTAAGTTGGAGAGTTCTTAGGAAATCATCAGATTCTATTGCCGGTAGTACTTTGAATAAATAGATGTCGGATCACGGTCATTTGATGTGACGGTCATTATTGCAGGTGTGTCATGCCCTGCAGGTAATTCCGTAAGTGACTAGTGCCGTAGTGGTACCGTAGCAGTGCGATACAGTCCACGGCATGATCAGATGATAGTGAACAGTAATAAATTACAAGTGTAATAAATACTCTTACTTCAGAAGTCATGATTGATATAACTGCATAATCATTGTACTTCCTTGACCTCGTGACTGACAGCTGTGCTCCTTTCAGAAAGTAAAACTGTTTCATCTCCAGCAGATGACATCGCAAAGACTACTAAGTTACTAACTAAGTACTGTAGTATCCGTTCATACAGTAACAATAATCATTACCCACCGGAGCGAGGGCCTTTTTTTATACATCGAACACTCGAGATCGTATCCACCTCCTTACGTGTTTGCAAGTCGAAGAGGCCCACATGGCATGCATACATACAGTATGTACCTAGTGTTCGATAATCCGGTTCCCTCGCCTATCCGGATATTTTTGTGGAAAACGGATGTTTGCGGTTAATTAATTAAGTGAGGTCTGACTGTACTTCAGTACTGTAGCCAGGACTGGACATAGCACAATAGGCATTGAACATTACTCCATATACAGAACTGGTGTGAGCCACCATATACATGTACATGTAGCGCATTTCATTACGTTACAGCAAGAGTACTGGTTATGTAATCTTGGTTACAGTAGATAAGAGTCGGGCGCTGAAGAACGTGGAGCCCAAGAACGTCCAGCCTGAAATGCTAGGAACGTCAACGTTAGAGCAATGCGTTCTGTCGGCTCGCACCCTTCTTCTCCTCGTCCCACGAATCCCCGAATGTTTGTGGTCGTGGAGCCCAAGAACGTCCAGCCTGAAATGCTAGGAACGTCAACGTTAGAGCAATGCGTTCTGTCGGCTCGCACCCTTCTTCTCCTCGTCCCACGAATCCCCGAATGTTTGTGGTCAGCGCGGCCCCGGCTCTTCAATGCACCATCATCTATCACGTCCACACACCACACAATAGGCTAATAATAAGGACTGACCATTTGGGTGTTTTCACGTGTACATGTACATGTACGAGTATGTTGCAAGAAGTAGCTAGATGCATAGCACGAAAATAAGAAAACACACGCTGCTCACGCTCAGTGCTCGCCATGAAGCCTCTGGCAACCCCGGTGACACCATGTCATTGCTTTGGTCCAAGTTTGGAGGGGCCTTGAGGCTTCAGGAAATCGGGGCAAGTCCAAAACACAGTTGCTGGAAACAACCCGATCTAGTAATAGTTCTTTGTGATTGCCACTCTTACTCGTACTACATGTAGTCTCAGTCTTTGCCACAGCCATGCCCTTCCTTTCACCGCCGTGCTTGGCCAACAGCCAATCTCTTCACTTTTTTCTGGCCAATATTCAATGTGCTTCATTTGAGATGTTGTACCGGTATTATGCCGCGTGACCAGGTGTAGTGTTATCATGTACAGCAAGCACAACATGTACCGGTATTACACCGACTCCGTGACGGCATACATGTAACTCCATGAGGGTGGGCATGGGAACAATGGCCCTGAATGGAAAAGGAGCTCATTGGCCATTACTGGCATTATTAGTACCGAGGTGATTGTATTACTATTACACAGAATGGCCTGGCCGCCATTACGGAGGCGTGTCCTGTTCACAACATGTCTTATTCCAGTTCAGTTCCGACACTGTAACCCTAGCGCTAGCGCTGTCCTTGTGAGTGTGAGTGGTTGACAACTAAGTAACAGTTACTTGACATGATCATGTCGTGATGTTCAGGCAGTGGGCCGGCCAGGCAAACAAATAAACACAGAATAATCGTACACTGCACTGCACAGCATGCACTCAAGTGTCAGAACACTCAGAAAAAAACCTTCAAAATATTTCGGAAGGGTGGGAAATACCTCCCTTTGGAAGTGCATCATTATGGGGCCACAAATGGCTGACTCATTCTTTCACCACACTGTGGCCACGCGTGGCAGGCGTGAGTGACTAGTGGTAGGTGACTGGTCTAATGTTCCAGTACATACAGTGGCGCGCCACCCTACTGCCTGGACAAAGGCTGCATAGGGAGTGCGACTGTGCGTGGTGAGGCATGGGAGAGAGAGAGAGAGAGAGAGAGAGAGAGAGAGAGAGAGAGAGAGAGAGAGAGAGAGAGAGAGAGAGAGAGAGAGAGACGCGCACGCACACGCACACACGCACACACGCACGCACACACACACACACACACACACACACACACACACACACACACAGTATAAGAGGTCCTCAGGAACAGTAAGTAATAGTTAGTACATGATTTCAGATTCTACAGGCCTAAGTCCTTGCCAGCCGCCAACTGGTAACTGGTCTCTAGTGCAGTAGTGGAGGAAACACCGGCAAAGCCAGCACTGCAGCAGGCGGTATATCGGTATGGCATTGCGTACGGGGCCGGGGTGGGGGTGCCACACATACAAGGATGTTTGTGACAGTTGCCTCAACTCAAGCTGCAGGGTGCCGTGAAGGCACTTGACCACAAGTCGTTCCGCTTTCGCCACCTCCACGGGGCACTGGCAGTAGCACTAGTAAAATTTAATAGGTCCACGTACACACACTGCCAGTACACTCCATGAAGGCATGATCATGATGATCCATTGACTATGTGACCGCACTCCGAAACAAAGCCCCCCAGTCTTTTCAGAAAGTATTCCAAACACGTTGATGACTGCATGTTTGTGGCATGGTAAAGTCTACCCCGAGTCAGCAGCCTCAGCACTCGCCTCACACCTTTGGTCTTTGGAATTCATTCACCAGCCAGCTCTCACTCTCAGTTGATTATGAGTCGCAATGACTTGTGCTAGTACTGTCTACTGACTGTACTGACTGTACTCAAAACTGACTAGTATACTGTGGCTCAGTGATAGATCTACAAAACTTAGCTAGTATAAGGAAATGCGTAGATCGACGCAGTTACAGTCTCTGTTCGCGTGATTCATCCCGATGAAAGGTCGAAAGACTCGAAACCGAAAGAAGCCCAGCGCCTGCTATTCAACGCTATTAAACCTAGAATCGCCCTTCATTTTCGCGAAGCACACAGCCTTCTCTGGGCTCACTTGCAATAGTACTCGGGCCAATGAATCAGTGGCTGACCTAAAAAAGATGTCGAACGGCTCGAAGGATGTTCTGTTCTTCTGTCCATGATATGAACGCTCAAATACTAGAAAAATAGCCTCAATATTGATCGCGTGGCGCGTGCATGCACCCGGCTTCCTACAATAATTTAGTACAATGATTATGATACCATACTGTACACTGATACAGTACAGACAGTATGTCTCCTTGCGCATGGCCTGGATCGAGTAGTCATGATCTACGTCACACGCGCAGTGCGTCCGCGGATCCGGTCACCAGCATTCATTTCCTGGCCTGGGAGTGGGACTAACAGTAACAAAAGATGCCGATCTATAATACTAGCTATGCCGTGCAAAGCCGACGTTTGCTGTGACTAAACTGCTTTTCAGTTCGTATTATTTTACTACACTGTACGTTGGAAGATTGACCTGCCCTTTCATTTCTATTCGCAGCGTGTACTACAAACGTCGTTGGCCCAGCTGTGCATGCCATCAGGCATCATCATTGTGTTTTCTGCAGAGCGCGTGGCCGTGGGTGAGGTCGAGGGTGTCTAACTAACTACATTGTTTACTGTTAGTGTTACTTCGACTCGAGTAACGACAATCACCCGGATGAGGTTGTAACGCTCTGCTAAACCACGCGTCATTGTCGTCAACTCCTAGATCCTGCAGTGACAGACCTGCCGTATGGTCCCTACTGCTGCGCACGGTGCACGGATCACCAGGCTAGCAGTCTGCAGTCGTGAAACAGGTGTTGGCCGCCGCCGACAGCCGCATTCCTGGTGTTGCTCTGTCTCCACCGCTCGCTGAGCTTTGGTCCGGATCGGAGCTCCTGGGTCAACGAGCCGTGACTCGTGAGCCGTGTCCCAGTTAGAACCTACCAACTTGCTAGTTTAGGGCCTTCAAAGCGGGCCGTTTCGGACGAGAAACATGCTTTCTTCTCCGTTGACAATGAGGCGGAGAGCATCGTCACAGCGGACCAGTGCGGATCCAGTACCGCGCAGTGGTCCACCGAGGTCATGCTACGTTGCCGTGCTGGGGTGCAGTGGACCGCGCTCGGAATCACAAACTGGCGTTGGAAAGTCGGCGCTGTGTGCGCGCTTCGTCAATCCGGGCCTGGATGCTTACAACGCAGTGAAGCCGGACGTGGACGAGTCGGTTCTGGCATGGATGGACTTCGTCGAACCGGAGATCAACCAGGAACACTTCCTCTACTATGGCAGTTCAGCGCGGAGGCTGTCAGGCAACACGACCGCTGTGATTCACGTCGTGGAGCAGACAGAGTTTCTGGACGAGGTATCAGTTGGCCACACAGCGTATCCAACACCTGGCACGTACCTGCAACGTGCCACCATGAGATATCTGCAGTCACCAGGCAAGATTGCTTATACACGACGGGGTAACATTGGTGCGGGCATGGCATCGGGTGCAAAGCCTCTACCAACAGCCCTGTCCAGCAAAGGTCTCTCCGGCTACGTTCTCGTGTACGATCCGACCGCACGCGACGACCGAAAGCAGCAGCAGCTTACACTGCTGGCAAAGCTGGTCGAGAGACTGCCTCGTGATCTACCAATCATACTTGCGATCACCAAATGTGACTCTCTTGCCGGTGGTCAACTCGACCGGCTTGCCCAGGAACACGAGGAGCTAGCACGGTGCCTTCAGCAGCGCAATCGTGCGTTTCCCGTCGTGCACGTTTCGGCCGAGATCGGGGTCAACGTGGACCTGCTGTTCATGCTGCTAGCTTCAAGAGCGCTTGGAGTAGAAATCGGCACGGGTAGTGACCCGTCCGTTGGCGTGTCGTCCTACCAGGAAGCACACGCGGCACGTCACACGGAAATCCGTGAGCTGCAACGAGAACTGTCCGGTGCTGTGATGGACCTGACGCAGCAGTTCCAGACGCGCTGGCATCCTGTTTACCAGGTACTGCGGCGCATGCCGGCGTACCGACGTCTCAGCGATCTGGAGGGCTACGAGGGTGTGCGGCGCCTGTTCCTCGCACGTCTGCTGGAAATCAAGATGGAGGATTTGAAGAACAAGAAGGAGACGACTCCCCCGCCGCCGTCTTCAGGACATGAAAGTGATGCGGAGATTGCGGACATTATGGCCGATGAGGACGATGCCAGAATAACAATCGCAGCCACCACCGTCACCGACAATCAGCCAGGAAAACGACAGAAGACAATGTACGAGGCTCTGGAGAAATCCCTTGAGCAGCATCCAGATGTGAAATGGTATGTTGCTTAAGCAGAAACTCTGTTATTCGAGCAAATTGGTCTATGTTTGCAATACCAGTACACTAACATGTGTATAACCATCGCAATCGGATGTGCTACTTGTTGCTGCCACGGCCTGGACAGCGTTAGCACTGATTTAGTACACATCGTGCCATGTTGATCCTTTGTAAGCGCTTCTTTCTGTCTCCCTCACCCTCTGTCTCTCTGTCTCTCTTTCTCTCTCTTTCTCTCTCTTTCTCTCTCTTTCTCTCTCTTTCTGTCTCTCTCTGTCTCTCTCTCTCTCTCTCTCTGTCTCTGTCTCTCTCTCTCTCTCTCTCTCTCTCTCTCTCTCTCTCTCTCTCTCTCTCTCTCTCTCTCTCTCTCTCTCTCTCTCTCTCTCTCTCTCTCTCTCTCTCTCTCTCTCTCTCTCTCTCTCTGTCTCTCTGTCTCTCTGTCTCTCTGTCTCTCTGTCTCTCTGTCTCTCTGTCTCTCTGTCTCTCTGTCTCTCTGTCTCTCTGTCTCTCTGTCTCTCTGTCTGTCTGTCTGTCTGTCTGTCTCTCTCTCTCTCTCTCTCTCTCTCTCTCTCTCTCTCTCTCTCTCTCTCTCTCTCTCTCTCTCTCTCTCTCTCTCTCTCTCTCTCTCTCTCTCTCTCTCTCTCTCTCTCTCTCTCTCTCTCTCTCTCTCTCTCTCTCTCTCTCTGTCTCTCTGTCTCTCTGTCTCTCTGTCTCTCTGTCTCTCTGTCTCTCTGTCTCTCTGTCTCTCTCTCTCTCTCTCTCTCTCTCTCTCTCTCTCTCTCTCTCTCTCTCTCTCTCTTTCTCTCTCTTAATCTAGACTGACAACCTGCTTGTTAAATCATGCACCTGCTTTCAGGCGTAAAGACCCTGTTGTAGAGATCTCAGTCCTCATTTGTTAGACTTACCTGTCTTTATAAATGTAGCTTACTCTCTCTCTCTCTCTCTCTCTCTCTCTCTCTCTCTCTCTCTCTCTCTCTCTCTCTCTCTCTCTCTCTCTCTCTCTCTCTCTCTCTCTCTCTCTCTCTCTCTCTCTCTCTCTCTCTCTCTCTCTCTCTTCTCCCACTGTGTACTTTAGTGATGCTAAGCAGGTCTCAGATATTTATGAAGACTTGGAGGCGGTCAAGGAAGCAAGGACTTGGCCACGGCAGAGTACTGCATTGTGAGTAGACGTGATGGATTCTTCATCGTGTGCATACCATCGAACACTGCTAAAGCTAACTGGTTTAAAGTTTTACAAGTTTACAACATGCTAGCAGCATCGGTGACAACTTGGGACGTGCCCTGTACTCGATTGTGACTCTTTTTTTGGTTTCGTGTCTGGTTTGTGTATGCAGGGCTCGCGTTCGTGACAGTCGTGGCGCGGTCTACTTTCCGATAACGACCGAGGGGAGCGACAGGTCAGCCACATTGCCATCGAATGACGGCAAGCAGAGACACGGCTCGTGTCCTACATTTCGCAAGGACCGGCCGACCACTCTGGTCCTTGATGCCGATGGCCCTCCAAGCAATGCATCAACACCACCAAAGTAAGCCAGGCGGCACCGTATTTTCTAGGGTATTTGTTGGGCTTTGTGTTTGTGAAAAGCCAGCCACAAATCCACCTTGCTTCCTATGTTCCAACTTCCAAGCGTGCACTTTAGTTAGGGATGAACGGTTTGGTCAAAGAACCGGTCGGTTGGAACCAATCTTCCATCGAGCCGCGCTCACCCGAAGTCAAAATCATGTACTGATTAAACTGAAGAGCGTGTAGAAACTTTGGATCTAACAGCTACATGTTACATGTAATGACTTACTTGTTACTCTTCCATAAGATCGCACTGCATGGACTGTCAATTACTACGTTGGGATGGTAACATGATAATATGATACGAGATTGTTCCCTTCGATTTCTGTGTTGACCCTATACTACGTGATGATGATACGATACTGAAAATTCTGAAATGTTCGGCTTTTGCACCAAGCACAGCAGCAATGTAACTTACTGTAGATGCTATACATGTACTATAAAAGCGCGTAAATAAGTAAATACCTGGGCCCCTCAACAAAAACAAGTACATGTCCAAATAATATACTTTTCATCATTTGACTCTGTCTGTTGAAGTCAGGCTTAGTCCAATTAAAATACTGCTCGAAATACGTCCTGTATTTTCCGGAGCATAAGCCGCACCCCTCGTTTTTGCCTCAAAACGCAGACATCTATCCTATTAAATTTATCGCCATTACTTTGATCATCGGAGTATAAGTCGTACCCCCCCCTTTGGGGGGGGGGGGCGGGGGGTTGAGTGTTCAAAGTGCGGCTTATACTCCGGAAAGTACGGTACTGGTATGGTTGGTGCATGCAGAATGTAGGTAGCATCGTGCCATGCACATGTGCATGCTATGGCATGCACTTGAGAAAAAAGACTTCTCCACGATGCGCAAGTCAGGTCTGGAAATTGGTTCATGACCGGAAGTGAGTACGGGTGTGACCACTACAATTGAAAATAGATAGGTACTTTTTTTACGGGGTTCCACGGTATCGGCGTTGCCTTGTTCGTATCCACGATTTGTTGCTGTCCCACTTGATGTGCTCCTCTATCTGTATTGTAGGGTTGAGGTCCTAAGCCAATCTTGGGATGACATGCCAGAGATATCCCAGACCCACACATCGCCACGGCTCAACAACAAGAATCAAAGTCGACCACGATCGGTGTCACCTCGCCACAGAAGCCGCGGACTGCTCAATCGCTTTCGCAAAACGCCAAGCCCCTCGCCGGCATCTTCTGCCGACAAGCCAGACCCGGTCCAAGCTGCCCAGGAAGCCGTGCTTGCTGGTGAGGAGAAACAGCATGTGGAGGTACGTCATACTCGGTCTCATTCACTGCAAATGCCGCAAAGCAATGAGCTGTCTCCGAGTCAGAGCATGCCCACCGTGTCAGTCACTAGCGAGGATAACAGTAAGACTCCTGGCCTCAATAATACGACGTTATCATCAGCAAAATCCTTGCCCTACCTTCCCATCGTCATCCCGCTGAAACCGAACCTTGTCCCGCGACATGCTCGGAGTGCCTCGATGCACAACCCGGCCATGCGAGTCAGCAGCACAGACAGCGGCTCGTCTCGGCAGCATTTTCCATTGGCTATGGACCGACGATCTCCAGCACCGGTGCAGAAAAGTCCGTACATGCAGTACGGCATGTCCAATATCTACGCACAACCTCTGAAGAAAATACCTGTACCCAAAGACGTTCCATCTCCGATCTACCGAGAGTTGGAAGCTGCTGTTGCAGATCTACACCTGCCAACAGGCGAAAACACTGCGCTGGATGCCACCAACATCATTTTCAAGCCCGCTCCTGTCTATGCCGAGTTGGAAGCAAATGCGGCAGAAATGGCTGTGGAGAGAACAGTTGAACAACCTCAAGAAGACATAGACCCGCTGCTGAATACCCTGGTATAGTTGCTCTCATGCTTGCCAAAGTGTTCCCTGCTGCTGCTGCTGCTGCCGCCGCTGCCGCTGCTGCTTGGCTTGAGTGCAGATTGCTGTTGCTACTCAGTTAGCGCTAATCATTTCAATTGAGCTTGAATGTAACACTCATCACTATACAACCGGCTTATCACAAGTTCATTTCGCTCATGTCATAAATAATAAAGATAAATAATAGTTTAATGGTGCCGGTTGGCTAATGTACGGTAACTTAAAAAATGTCACAATGGCTTGCACTAGGGTGCCGGCACTTCCCGTAATCATACGCTAATTCTACTACATTAGAAACTACCAGTATCAAAACTATCCGTGCGGGGTACCCCTTGCCCCACTTTCACTTACATTCGGCACACCTACGCACACTCACAATCTCTGCATCTAATGATCTACCGTATTTCCCAGATGTCTCTACTACTTCCAGTCAGGCCAAGTAAAATCTGTTGAGGCCCACGTTGGTGTCAGTGGGGCCGCTCTATTCCTTGATGTAGTGTAGCAAGAGCCTGTTGTGATGGCATCAACATGATTGCCACACTGAATGACCAATGACCAATGGTACTATCTATACCCTACAGGTTTACACACGGTGACTCATTGTACGGCTTTACTGCCTTGCTGCAGCAGATTATAACTTGATTACAAATTACTCCGTAGGCCCGATATTGATCAACGATTTCCATAACACGAATCTACATGTGCTTTGTGTCTATTATCAAGAGTCCATAATCCCCTCCCCCTCCATGACTCTTGCTACTTCGAAGTATTATATTGGCGATCCTTACAGTACAATGAAACTTTTAGTTCAGCTGTTTAATAGCATGCTCATCTCGCTCCAGTTTGATATTTCAACTTATAATCAACTTCTAAACACAGCTTTCCATTGTTGTTCACTGCACTTTATGCCGCCTCAGTAACACTGATCTGTAGTCTGTACGATTGGTGGGTGAATGTTATTGTCTTTCTCTTTTATTGTCTTTTCATCATTGTCTTTCATCCTGTTACTATAGCAATCCATTCCCTGAATTCTGACGGTACCTGTACTGGCACTGGGTACTGGCAAGATGAGGAGTGAGTTGCGTTTTTTTCCTACATGGGTAGACCGTCAAGCCGGGTTTAGCAACCATGCATTTGGTCTCGGTATGATCACTTTTTTTTCTTCTTTTGCACTCACCCATTCAATGTGGTGAATGTACAATTAGTAGCTGAATTAGGAGATGCTACTTTCGGATATCAGCATGCGTCACCTATGTTCAAGACCACACTGGGCCGGCTGCACGGCCCAGGTTCCATGGGTGGTCACTGAGAGCAGGTGTTCACCCTGGCGTGCGTTGTCGGTTTGCAGTCACTAGTATTGGGCGTTTGCATGCTTGGGCCTCTGGACTTCCTCAGGCTTGCAATGAAAGGCTACCACATAGGCACAGCGGCCTAGAAAGCCTAGAAAGCCTAGATGGCTTACTACTACACTACTAGTAACCAGTCACGATGCGCAGCTTTTAGCAAAAGCTATTTCCACCTGCCGCATGGCATGGCCAGGCCTGGCAAAGTCGGTGTCCACGGTAGTCTAATACTACTAGGTCAGTTGAGGCGCACAACCACTACTGTCATAATGCACATCTGATCATGTGCATGATTGTACATGCATCCTTACACTGATGTACAGTAGTGAACTGACATGTACATGTATGCTGCTAAGTACCTGTAAGAGTTTCTAGCACACAAACTCTTATATTAACCCTTTGGAGCTCATCGTTCGAATTCGAACGATGCCAATGTCATGTGTGCAAGTGCACTCAACGAGTCACAACTCAGTCAAATCTCAACCGAATTCAACAATCGAAATACCTACGAGGTAGCAGAGAATCTAAGCTGTCGGCTCGAAAAACTCCGGGGTCGATACGAGCTAGTATAACAGAGCGGCGAGTGCTCGAAAGTTCGCTCGATTTCTCATGCGTCAGCGAAGTGCAAATTTCGTTCAAAAGTGGGATTTTCCCTCTTCCTGCCCACGCAGCGTGTGACATCACTCCCAGCGCTTTTTGTCCCGGCTTTTGTGAGCCTGTTAGAAAAAATTTGAATGATTTTGAGCTAGCACGAGTGAAATGGCGAGACAAGGACTATTCCCGTTTTGGATTTGGTATTCAGCTGGCGTTCCTGGCATTCGGTAGCAGACAGCAATCGCTCTCCTGGATGAGTTTGGGCTCGCTGTTATCCTCGTTCCAAGAGCTTTCCAACGAGCCCAAGATCGTCAGAATCGGTGAAGTAGAACCAGCGTTATGATGGAAATTGGAACGAATATACTTGCAATTGCAGCTATCTCCTGACGTCGTGTGATCAGTGCAGTTCCAAAGGGTTAAAGGGGAAGTATACCCTAAAATCAAATTTTCACCAGTTGTAGTCTTCGTGGTGCTGAGTTGAATGGTCTTGGTCCGAGGACGCCGAGACGCTCCCTTCCTCCTTTATTCCCAATCGAACTCGCGCACTTCCACCGAAACTGGGTGACTACGCCCTACTAGATAGGGATTTGTATGGAAAAAGTCACTAAAAACGCCGTTTCGTTCTTATAAAAGCACGGATGACCGCGATTGGTCCATATGTTGTAGTCTTGTGGCCGCTGAGTCGACTGGTTTTGGTCCGAAAAGGCTGCGATGCAGCGTTCGGCCCTTATTCCCAATCGAACACGGTTGAGTGAGCGGTCACGTGCCTGCAGAGTACATTTTTCACATCAAGATTCAACTCAAAGGTTCAAAGTAGGGAGTCGTAAGAGGCGTTTACGACTCCCTGGTTCAAAGGTTCAACTCGAGTGACATAAACGGGCCCAAAGTAGGCCCAGACAGATTCTGCTCCGCTCGCTTCGATATTTCGCCGCAAAATGTTGCTGCGAAATCTTCGATATTTTGCCGAGCCTGGCGCAGGAAACTCGATATTTTGCTCCATTTTGCTCCGGAAAACGTGTATTTTATCCACTTCCCGTACAATCCCGTACGTTTCATAAAAATCGCAGGGTCGGTTTCTCAACACGGGTTTCCACGCACGTGTCCCTAAGTTTTTCCAAAATCATGTCGATCCACAGTGAATCCCAGTGATATTTCGGTGACATGATCTCGTCCTGGGCAGTGTACCCTGCTGAACGGGTAAGAAACACGGAAATCCAAGTATCAGGCATCGATTTTGCCCAACATCTCGATATTTTGCTCCGATGTTGCCGGCAATTTCCGCTCTTTCAATTCTTCGATATTTTACCGAAAGAATTGCCGGCAGGATCTGTCTGGGCCTAGCCCAAACGGGCTGTAAATGAGCACGTGACCGCTTACTCAACCGCGTTCGATTGGGAATAAGGGCCGAATGCTGCATCGCAACGGCCTTTTCGGACCAAAACCAGTCGACTCAGCGGCCAAAAGACTACAACATATGGACCAATCGCGGTCATCCGCGCTTTTATAAGAACGAAACGGCGTTTTTACTTTTTAGTGACTTTTTCCATACAAATTCCTATCTAGTAGGGCGCAGTCACCCAGTTTCGGTGGAAGTACGCGAGTTCGATTGGGAATAAAGGAGGAAAGGAGCGTCTCAGCTTCTTATTCCTCGGACCAAGACCATTCGACTCAGCACCCCGAAGACTACAACTGGTGAAATTTGATTTTAGGGTATACTTCCCCTTTAAGTTATAATTCATTTTAAACCAGTAAACTGTTTCTTGAAACTTCAAAGTACCGTAACTTAGTTTTCCTGGTGGTCTCATTTATCCCAATACATGCACGTACATGTACTCGTACTACAGTATTTTACCTTCGGGTTATGGTGCGACAACTGATGACACAAACTGTCAGAGATCGTGGCACCATGTACCACCGCTTCATCTCCACGATCACCATCGAGCTTGGGCCTTACTGCATGTCGTTTCGATTATGGCGAGAGCATACCGGTAGTCTACAGTCATTCGCTACTCGTATGATTCGATCACTCATGTCATAGAAGCCGGCAAGGTATTTTGCAAGCTGGCACGTTGCATCGCTAAGCTGTGTACAATAACATGTACATGTGCAGTTACAATGATGCTATTGCCTGCTAAATAGCCAAACTAAAGACATTTGTCTTTGCAAAGACAAATGCCACAATCCAGCCACATCACGTGCATCCATCTGGCCATCATATCGACACGCGTGGCATGCGTGCCAGGCTGTTCTGATCCTATTAATTTTTTTGAAAATCTGGCCCTTGCTTTTTTCTCTGCACTGCGCTGCAGCGCTGATCAAATCATACCATTGTCAGTGATTTTTTTTGGAGTTCTCGCTTTGTAGGTGACAGAGATCTGTGGGGAGTTTTGTTCTATCTCGACTGCAAGAATGGCTCTGGCATCATGCAGACGATCTGTCACTGGTGTTCTTACAAGTGCTTGTAGGTCAGTTGATGTTACACGCTCACTCAGCAGAAATCTGTTTTTTCCTTCAAGAATTGTGGAAAGACCTTTGACAACAACCTCGAGGATGGCGGACACCATTGCAGATCCAACCCAGAGAAAACTGATGCAGGAGCAGTGTCTACTTGTTGATGAGAATGACGAAATCGTAGGACACGCGTCGAAGCTGGACTGCCATCGTAGGGTGAATATCGAGGCCAATGGTATGCTCCATCGTGCATTTAGTGTATTCCTATTCAACAGCAAAGGCGAATTACTCCTGCAGGAGAGGGCAGACTCCAAAGTAACTTTTCCAGGCTACGTAACCAATACATGCTGCAGTCATCCGCTGTACGTTGAAGACGAAATGATAAATGAGCCGTTGGCATTGGGTGTGAAGAGAGCTGCTCAGAGACGTGTTAACTATGAACTCGGAGTGCCTTTAGATCAAGTGAGTTTTGAATACAGCTGTATTTTAAGAAAGCTTAACTTAGAAGTTAGAAGTAACGACCCCGGCGGTAATACTTGATGAGGTTCAATGGTTGCTCCAATGTGGAGCTCGCACTTCTTGCCAAATTTCTTGACATTTGACCGACTCGCGACTGCCGTCCGCCACCGGGAGCATGTCAACTTGGCACACTTGCAAGAAAGCACCACACCCTGCTCACAGTGTTTTTTGGGAATTCACCCTCTCTTCAGTTGAGCTTCAGAGGCTAATGAACCTTTTGCTCCAAATCGCTACTTTTTTTAGCGCTCCAGCAGCCGAAACATCATTAGGGATACAAACTTACAGTGACGCTCCGTTTCCAACACGACAAACACCTTGTAAGGCCCCAGGTAGCAGAGTTAGTCAATGTCACTCGTGGAGGAGTTAAAAACAGATACCGAGGGCCATTGGCAAGTAATTCGGCAGGAAGCGTGAACTCCACGTAGGAGCACCCAACTTTGTCGAAAGTTACTGTCGAAGTCGCTACATCAAGTTGGTATTACAGAGGTTCTGCAAAACAAATTTCGCGTTCAAGTTCGCACTTAAATGAAAGCTGAACTCACAGAGTTTGCGTTGTGGTAAGGACTAGCAAACAAAATTCGTGCTTGCACGGCGTGGACTGGTCATACATGTGTACAGACAGTACAACGTAGTAACTTTATGACTCACTAGCGGATTCGTGTTCTGACTGCTTTTTCAAGTGAAATGTGCTAGGGACCTAATGTGCGGAAGTTCACATTCCGGTTCGCGACCCGAAAAAAACTCGAACGCTAAATTCGTCTTGCTAAACCTCCGTTATCCCCCTTGCGCGGACATGCAACTAGTTTGTAAAGGTGACAGCTTTGTGAACAACTAATAGCTCTCGGCGTCTGTTTCTCGCCACTCCGTGAGCAACATTGATTCACATTGCTGCCTGGGGCCTCACGAGATGTTTGTCGTGCTGGAAACGGTGTAATATGGTATCCCTAACAGGGATCGATTTACTTTGATTTTTTTGCATAGCAGTCACTGCTACACAGTTTTGCAATTGACTAGCAACTCCCAGTATTGATTAGCAGCTTTCCTTCATCAAAAGTGTACAATCATGCATATCTGTACGATAGCAAGATTTTGTACAGAAGTGGACAATAGCTGCTGTTGCTATTTGCTTTTCCAAGCGAACGGTCGACATGAATATTTACGTCAGGGTTTTGTTACATGTTCAGCGTTCACCCGACTTGTTAGTTCGTCACAACACAGTATCCTTCAACAGGGTAGTTCCACTGATTCCTTCGACAAAGAACGCTCAGGAAAGCGCTCAAACGATCGTAACATTCCGTGCAAAGTGTCCAGAATTTTCGCTTTGCTCCATCGAAACGAATCAACATTCCTGGCGCGTCCAGTTCTTTTTCTCACTTCTGGACAGTGATCAGATTCACTGACATGTTGGTCACATGGGACTAAGAACCATCCACTTCAGCTGTGTCTTGTCGAACAGAAACAAACTGAATTGAGCTTGACAGTGAAAGAAGAAAGGAGAACTTCAGGGAAAGTTGCCGCCGTGTAGTGTACAAAACTAACTTCCAAAGACTGCAGTGCTAGTGCAGTGTCCAAAATCATACAGAGCGCGATCCGCGACCCGCGCCCGCGTGCGGACTAAACAGGGTAGGCCAGTTGGTTGGAGAAGTAAAATACTACTCCCTAGTCAGTAGTGACAGTCGCATGTAAACTGCACACAATCAGTACAGAATGGTCTTTGTACATACCGGTATGCATGGCCAGTGCATCGCAGTTTTCATGGTTTTGGGCGATAAAAAACGAAAAGCGAATCGCAGCCAGTGAATTTTGATTCGCAAACTGCGATGCGAACCCGGATAAATCGATGCCTGCCTAATGTTGTTTGGGCTGCTGGGGCACTATAAAATGTAATGCTTTTTCATTAGCATGCTCAAGCTCAATTGATGATTCGTTAATTCCCGGAAAAACAGTGTGTATTGAGCAGGAAGTGGTGCTTTCCTCCAGGTTTGCCGAGTGGAATCGGAAGGTTCAACATGCCCCTGGTGTGTCATAGTGCGTTAATGTGTACACATATCTTCACTTCAAGTGAGATGTGGCAGCTCAAGAGAGTACTCAAAGCACGATAATACAGAGCGCTACATATATACATTACAAAGAAGTGCAATGTGCTGTCTGGTGATCACTTTTACTGTTTTACATCACAGTTTCAGCTGAGCAGTTTTCAATCCTTCTTTGTATGTGTCAATGTGTGCGCGCGCGCGTGTGTGTGTGTGTATGTATGTGTGTGTGCGTGCATGCACGTTCTTGTGATGTAGCTACCTCTGGAGTCATTCAACTTCCTCGCTCGTGTCCACTACCGAGCAATGTCCGGCGGAGACTGGGGAGAGCATGAGATGGACTATGTACTCTTCATGCAGAAGGATGTAGACCTGGCGCCAAACGATAATGAGGTGAGCTTCTGCCTGCCCGTTCCTTTTTCTTTTCTTTTTCTTTTCTTAGACTTTACAATAGTTTACAGTCATGGTACTGCGCTGGCAAGGCTATCCTATTCTTAAGCAACAGAATCCACCTCAGCAATCTTGTCCTTCATCCTGCGATACATGCTGTCCAAAACAGCTGCCCAATGCCCGCAGCATCCGCAGAGATAGGACGAACATAGCATATGCCGACTGCTGCAGCGGGATGACAGAGCCCGGGAAGCAAGCCACCACACTCCTGAAGAATATCCTTACAGACGAACACCCTACCTTCTCCTCTGATGGTCTCGCTAAAAGCAGTGCAAACACTCTTTATCTTCCGGGCCGTCTTGCATGGGTCAAGGCAGATAGTAGGAGGTAGCTGCGGAAATGGCAATGATGGCATTTCTTTTGATTCAGTACTAGTGCAACAACACTGTCCTTGCAATGGACGCGCGGGTTGTGACACTGGAATTGGCTAATCTGCTTGCCGTTGCTGAGCTGCCGGGCATCCTTAGTAGCAAACCCTGTTTTCACTTTTGTTGATGGGAGAATAGCCGACTCGTCCGTGACAGCTATGGCCATCAGGCAAACCATGGAGGAGCTGGCATCGGTGTGGCGGATTTAGGGATTTCTCATTGTAGTCTTTACTTGGCTGCAGTGGAGTCTGAATACCATAAAAAAGTATTCTTGATGGGGGGGGGGGGGGGGATAAAGGTAACTTAGGGGTTCTAATGGCTCATGGTGGAATCGAGGTAGTTTTTCCCTGCAATAACAGAATGGAGAAGGTGTGTATGTCATGTATTTCTCGTTTTCTCTAACTCTTTTTGCCGACAGATGCGTTAGCCCCATGGGTGATCTCACACATGGGGTACATGCGAGCTGTTATTATTATTATTATTATTACAGGTGGAATCCTGATAATTCGAATATGGCTTAATTCGAACATCCCGCTTAATTAGAAGTTTTTCGAGGACCGATTTCTGTTAATACGATTCCCACATAAATTTTCCTGATAATTCGAACCTCGAACCAGACATGTCCGGTTAATTCGAAGTTCCACGGATTCCACTTACATCGAACATATGTGGGATTTGTGCTGATAATTCAAAGTTAGCAAAGTGTAATTCGAAGTTCACTGTACACTGTACTGGTCAGTTCAGTTTGCATGAGCAGGCTGTGCCGGTCAGTTCAGTATCCGTGAAATCTGTGTCTAAGGTCCATAGCGCAACTCTGCATGACCATGAGAGCATTTTGATATACATATTGTGTTGTGGGTTCATGTTTGGATAATTAGAATGTCCGGGTAATTAGAAGTTTTTTCCTGGCATTTCGAGATTCGAATTATCAGGATTCCACCTGCATTATTATTAATGGCTGTGCATACCCTGGTAATGGGAAGTCTTGTCTTTGTGGATCAATGCACCACTGTTGCTCTGCTGTAGAACCCTTTGTGTGTGTGTGTGTGTGTGTGTGTGTGTGTGTGTGTGTGTGTGTGTGTGTGTGTGTGTGTGTGTGCCGTGAGTGGGATCATTTCTAAGTCCGCCGAGTTTGGGGATTTAAGGGGGTGTCAGCCGTTGGGCGGTTCATAGCCAATTGACTCATCTTTCCCAGATTCCTTTTGAGTGTCTTTCTCCTCTCCCGGGGAGACCCACGTGACCAGTTTTGGCAGTGAGCAAGTACAGTGTGTGTGTTTGTGTGTGTGTGTGTGTGTGTGTGTGTGTGTGTGTGTGCTCTGAACCTCTCACGTGGGTTTTGGTTGTTCCTTAATGCTTCACTCTGGTATACTTTCTATTCTTTTTTGTGTAGGTCAGGAAAGTCGAGTATGTGTCGCTGGATGATTTCCCAAACTATCTTGAAAAGTGCAAAGCATCTGGCGTTCCTGTCACACCTTGGTTTGACTTGATCGGCAAAAACCTGCTGACAACATGGTGGAAAAGGCTCGACAGCATCGGCTCTATTGCCAATTCGGAAGAAATTCACCGTTATGTGTAATTTGCGGTGCTAGATTTGCAGACATTTTGAAACACTGCACCACTCCACACTGTGCTGCTTGCCCGCCTACACAACACCATAGCGAGGAAATGCAACATGCAACATCTAACCAAGGACGAATTTCCTCGGTACGGTGTTGTAGATTTGCAAAATTATGAAAACTATACTTTCCACCGTGCGACATTTCATTATTTTATTCGCACCCTTCTTCAGTATTTATATTTATTTCTAGTGGTAACCTGGATTCTCTTATCCGATTTAGACATACCGGTAACTACGGTATAAGCTCTCTTAGTTAGACTGCGTTATTTTATCAGTTGCCTTTTGCATGGTCGAATAACACATGCATGTAAAGACACACATGGCGAAATGGCTGGGAATGTTCAATATGCACCTGGTGCTTTTTTTTAGGTAGTTTTACTTGCTTTTACCCGTGGTTACTTTGCTTGTAGCTTGTTTATGTCAGAAAAAGTTGCCTGCTCCGGACTTCTTCAATTCTTACCGCCAAAGTTGTTTTTATTCGGGCTACCAGTGCTCCTGTGAATTAAAAGTGCGTCAGATTCTGTAAATGTGTTGCTCGTGTGTACGGGTTGCAGATCGCTGTACTGCTGGCCTCTTTGAAGACTATTACACTTAGATAGTATCAAGAGTACATAACCGATAGTAACCGATAGTATGCATGCACTGAAGATTGTGGCACACCGTGTGCACATGGGCATGCTGACTTACTCTGTGCCATGCATCGACGAGGCCTCGATTTATTGAGTTGTGTGATACAATTTCGAACTACCTCAAAAGAAAAATTTCCTGGATACTCATCCAATGAATCCCGGCTTATAATTTTATTGATGAAATGCGAGGTGCCTTTGCTGGAAAAGCCACTGCAAGTCAAATGTCGTCAGTGCTTGCATTTCATGATGCAAAAATATCCAGTTATGGGAGTACATGTATTCCTTTCTATGCGAAAAGTACTTAGTCATGGGAGCACGCCCTTCTATGCGAAAGTACTACAGTACGATCAGTAGCCCACGTATACTGTTTGCCATTACAGATTTCTGCATGAAGGTCAACAAGCATTAGGGAGGTTCCGGAGTACGATTTTTCGTGCCAAAATCCGTGGAGGCTCTACGGATTTTTTATACGTCGTTTTCGAGCAGTGAAAAGTTCCGGGGTACGGAACTTATGTGTTTGCCGTCATTGCCTAGGTTACGTTCGCAAACACGTCACATTCCCGCGCTATGCCTTTTTATTTTGAAAATTTGTACCGAAATCAAAACTTCCCGCGAAAAATCAAAGTTTCTCGTACCAAATTTGTACGCGAAAAATCTTTCTGCACCCGAAGACGCAAAATCTCCATACGAAGCATGGTTCGTATGAAAGCCAGTCCACACGGATTCTCGTGCCGAAAAATCGTATGGAGCACGCCTGGAAAAAATCCGTAGCGCCCATACGGATTTTGGCACGGAAAATCGTACCCCGGAACCTCTCTATTGTCAAAATCTTCAGTGCAACTGCCCTATCTCTTTCAATTCAGTGGGCGTCTGAATCAGGGAGTATGGTAGAATACCACTCAGTGCACATCTGGAGCATAACCAGATACATGCACTGTAACAGTGTGGTCCTTGTTCTCTGTTCCAAGCAGAGTACCATACCCACTACTACAATTTGGGTAGGTCTCCCGCGTTCCAAGCCAACTCACATTCACTCGCAATTTCAGTACGAAAATCTCTCAAAAAATCTTGGATACTGGCATCACCTGTATACCCAACAGTATATGTATGTATGTATGTATGTATGTATGTATGTATGTATGTATGGTACAAAGTACAAACACAATGACATCGATCAAATTACATGAATGTTATTATGTTTTGGTTAAAAAAAAAGGGAGAATAGGCAAAATGCAGGGCCTTGTGTTCCTAAGCACGGATGCACGCGCGACATGACGTACAACGTACTGACACATGAAAATGGTGAGAAAGTCAGCGGGCAGAATAAGTTTCAGAAGCATGGGTGGTAGCAGGCATGAAGCGGTGTGTTTATACAGAGAGGTGTGATTGCGACACATCACAGCCAATTTCAGCGACTTCGCAGACAGTGCAGACCTTACCCTTGTGCTCGGGAAGGTAGGCGGCCTGGCACAGCGGGCACTTCTCCTGCGCCTTGCCACGGTAGATGGGTACATAAGAGTAGCCGCACACGGAGAACGGGTTGAGCTCGTCGTAGCGCAGCTGGTGGGCATCAGTTAGGTTCTTGTCGCACGCGGCCAGGACGCGGCGAGCCTGCTGAGCGACATCCGGCTTGGGGCCAAGCTCAAGAAGGCGCCGGCCAAATGATGCTGCCGTCTTGAAGTTCTTTAGGCGGAAGAACAGGTTGAGAGCCGTGCGCAGTGTCAGGATCAGATGTACGGGCTGAAGGTTGAAGTGGGTGAAATAGGCAGCAAGCTCGCATAGACGCTTCTGCTCATCCAGAGTACCCTTGGGCAGGTCTTTACGGTGGACCTCCATGATCAGACCAAGGACATACTCCCTGCATACTGAGATCAGCTGGCGCACTTCCTCCACATCCTTGCGCTTGTCAACGCTGAGCATGGCAGCGGATAGAAGCAGAGACCGGAAGACAACGACTGCCTCGCTGAACTTGCCACCGGTTGTCATCTGGTACGCAGACTGAACACGGCCAGCCAGATGGTCCAAACGCAGGCCGTACGCAGGCAGGCCCTTGCTGGCGCCTGCTTCTTGCCAATTGCGATGTGGGAAGCCCTTCAAGCCGGGTGTGTTGGGCAAGCCTTGAAGGGCAGTGCGAGACTGTGCAAACAGTGACATGACAACTGGCTTCAGCGGCGCAAAGTTGACCACACCAAGCTGAGTGTTCAGGATTCCAAACATGGCATCCAGGGCACCAGCACAGGCAAGATCACCAGGTAACCGAGAGTGAGCCCAAACATTGGCTTGGCTTGGTGCTGGCTGTGGGGGGACATAGCCACCGATGCTATCTCCGACTGGGCCTGCGTCAAAATCTTCAGGCAGATCCAAGTCGTCATCGTCCACATTCCAGCCATCGCCCGTGCCCTCCATCTCTGGTGCATCAGCCTCAGCCATGGGGTCGTCGAGATTGTCAAGGTCGATGTCAGCCTCACCGCCCCAAGCATCACCAACATCTTCGTCCATGTCCACAGCCGGCATATCACCACCCATGGCTGATTCAAAGATGGTCTTGCTGACAGTCAACAGAGGCCATGTTGGGGGACAACTGCCAACCGGTTGCTCCGGGACCAAGGCTTCACCGGACGCCGACAGGTTCTGCAGGTGTGGGTACTCAGATTCCAGCTGTGCAGCTTCCTCGTCGAAACCACCCGTCTTGGCAGACATGTACGCTAGCGCAACTTGACCAATGGAACGGAGGACACGGATACGTTCCTGCACATCGCCGCTGTATAGTGCATACTGGAACTGACCGCTGGTGTCCTTGCGTACTTCAGCGATCTTCTGCATCTTGCCGAGTTTCTCCTGGTTGCCGGTGAGCAGGTAGAGGAAGGCGAGACGGTCAAAGTTCTTGGTGCGCTGGTAGGCCATTTCCACCACCTGATGGTTACCCTGTGCAAGAGCCATGGCACCTAGGCGATCCCATGCAGAGTTGTCATCAAGCGTCTTGGCAGCCTCTAGCGCCACTTCCAGATTGCCACACTCCAGCGCCAGGTTCAGGCGAGTGCGCGGGTCCTTCACGAAATGCAAGGCCACCTCTGGATAGCCCTTCTTCTGCAGATACGAGATGATGGACTGGCCGACGAGTGAGGCCGTGCGGACCATGCGCAGGACTTCGTCGTACTTGCGCTGAACGAGAGCCGTCTTGAACTTGAACTCGGTGACATCGACGTTCAGCATGCGAATCTTGCCCTGACGGTCCAGGCAGTAGACGTTCGTACCCTTGATGGAGGCCAGATAGATAGGCACGTCCAGAGTACGAATGATGCCATGGTCACCATTGGTCAGAGAGTACTTGATGTGGTTAGACGTGTTGTACACCAGCACACCACTCTCGTCCCAGCAAGCGCTCTTGACGCGCACGTTCTCATGCACCGTGCACAGGCTCTCCAGCTTGCGCGAGCAGATGGTGATGGTGTGCTTGGTCAGCAGGGCAACATACGCCATGTTGGCACTCCAGACTACATAACGCAGCCTGTTGTTACGGACATTAGCCAGGGACTGCTTCTGGTGCACGTCGTACAGTGTAACCGACTCGGCGTCACTCAGCAGCACCTGACCAGTGCCGGCAAAGTGCATAGACACGGTACCGGCGGGAGCAGGGAGGCTCTTGGTCGTCTCATTCTTCAAGTTCTTGATGACAATTTCGTTGTTGCGCAGCACAGCAAAGCGGTTACGGGCCACCCAGACAGCACTGTGGCCACTCGCCTTACGCGGCTCGACACTTCCGGGATCAGACTTAGGCACAGCGTAGAGCTCATAGAATGCATCGCCCTTACCAGGCTGCGACGACACCAGAATGGCGTTCTCCTTGGCATTGTAGGACATGGAATACAGGTGGCAAGGCCGAATGGAAGAGACGTGACGCATGGTTAGAGCCACTGCATCCTTGCTGGTGCCGAGCTCACAGTGGCGGATTTGCTTGTCCTTGACATAGAACAAGGAGTTGCCCATCACAGCATACGCAGGTCGTTCTCTCTCCAGCTTGAAAACAACCATACCGCCATCGTGACCTGCTGCGAACAGGTTGAGAGTGGGGTGAGCGGCCATCACCCAGAAGCGCTCGTTCTCGCGGCGGAACGTTGCCATACATGTGCGCTTGGTCATGTCCCAGACACGCACTGTCTTGTCTTCCGAGTTACTCAGAATCAGCTCCTCGCGCGGGTGAAACAGGCAGCAAGACACATTGTTGAAATGTCCACGGCACGTGTCCACTTCCCATGCCCTTGCATCGTTCATTCGCCACAGCTTCACATTACGGTCGTCTGCTGCGGACACAATCAGAGCAAGAGTGGGATGGAATGCCACCCAGTTCACACCACGATCGTGTCCTTCCAAGACGTGCTTCACCACCGCGTCCGTAACGCCAAACAGGTCAGGCGATGTGGGGAGCTTGCTGGACAGAACGGATGGGGCAGATACACCGCTGCCTGGTGAGTAGTTCTTTCGGCGCAGACCAGAAATGTCCCACACGCGAATAGTCTGATCAAGAGAGCCGGACACCACCAAGTCGTCTTTGGGGTGGAAATCGGCACACATGACGTAGTGGTTGTGCCCAGTCATTACACAGGCGCAAGTGCGTGATTGCCAGTTCCAGATGCGAATCGTCTGGTCATCAGACGCACTGAGGATCCATGGGCTCTCATGGTGGAATTTGGTCGTTCGCACATAATCCAAATGACCGAGGAGAGTGAACAAGCATCTCTTCACTTTGTAATTCCAGACCTTGACCTTGTAATCGTCTCCTCCGGAAACAAACAGTGGCTGGTCGCGGTGAAAATCAACTCCACGAACAGGTCCGTCATGCTCATCAAACCGCTCAATCAGTGTGCACATACGATAATCCCAAAGTTGGATATTTCCATTGTGCAGGCTCGACAAGACCCAGGGACGGTGCGGATGAAAAGCGAGGCCCTTCACGCGAGCACTCTTCGATTCAAATTTGGCCAACATTTCCAATTTCCTAGATTCAGCTTCTCATCTCGACCAGCAAAGAGCAGCAAATAACGCATTCGTTCAAAAGCCAAATACCCACGCACACACTGTTCCTTTCTTTCCTCTTTCTTTTCTCCTTCAAAAAAGTGTCTTGATCATGCATCGCGATCTTCAGTGGGGATCACGATTTTCACGGAGATCGACCATCTCTGCACGTACATCCACGTAGATCGTAGCTAGCGCAGTAGCACCGACCGTGATGACGTGAAACCCCTTGACGCACACACGCCATATCTGCAACGTGTTTGTTGCCATGGCCACACCCTACGTCACAGTCTTTCCCGCGCGTGCGCACAGCTAGCACAGCCAGTAGATCTACAACTCGTGCATAATACGACTACGCGTGTAGATCTACCATTGAAATTGGGCATTGTATACCAGGTATACGAGCGCATCAGACGTGACCAGAGTCGTAGTACAGGAGTAGTAGTAGAATTAAATTAAAAAAATAAATAAATTTTATTATTTTGATAGGGAAGGCCATACAGACGTTGCCGTCTTGTTACCATGGTTACAGGGAACCCTAGCTCTTTACAGAGCGAAACAAAAACGGATAGATGCTCAGCAACCTGACGACGTCGTATTTTTAGCTCTACGTACACTGCACCATGAATACCCTGGACTATAAAAATGGGTGCCTTATTATTTTTCTGTTTTTTTTCATCATGCATTCATCAAGAAGGATTACCGGTATTATTATTATTATTATTATTATTTTGGAAAGGATTGGGAGAACTTCAAATTCAAAGGATCAGTCGGGGAAGTGAACTGCCTGAAAAGAGAAAAAAACGCCAGACCCACCAGGACTCGAACCTGGGACCCTGCTTGTCATGAGCAATGCTCTAACCACTGAGCTATGGGACCAGGCTGAACCTAGAAGGCGCTGACAAGTGTTTCACTCCAAAGGCAGCTCACAACACGTGCCACACATACTGATGGCACTTGGGTCTTTTTCCCTCCCCCAGGGGACCGACCAACCACGGTCAGTTTCATTTAATCACTTTCTTTCACCTCTGGTAGTTTCCAGAAACTGACCGTGGTTGGTCCCCTGGGGGAGGGAAAAAGACCCAAGGCCAAGTGCCATCAGTATGTGTGGCACGTGTTGTGAGCTGCCTTTGGAGTGAAAAACTTGTCAGCGCCTTCTAGGTTCAGCCTGGTCCCATAGCTCAGTGGTTAGAGCATTGCTCATGACAAGCAGGGTCCCAGGTTCGAGTCCTGGTGGGTCTGGCGTTTTTTTCTCTTTTCAGGCAGTTCACTTCCCCGACTGATCCTTTGAATTATTATTATTATTATGTATACAATAAATGAGGAGGCCGAGGGTTTATGACCAATAAAAACTATTATAAAAACCGAGGTCCCCCGAGGTTTTTATAATTAGTTTTTATTGGTCATAAACCCAAGGCCGGAGCATTTATTGTATTTAGAATCAACCAGTAAAAACTCCTACTCAATCTCCAACAACAAAATTAGCGGACAGCTGTTATTTGTGTTGCTATGACAACCCGTGTGCTGGACGAGTATTTGTTGTCATTGGTTCAATTTCTTTTAGTCTTCATAGGCTATCAGATCATTTTCCTTATTCGGTCTATTTATAACCAGTATCTATAATGAGAGTGTGGTCTGTCTCCATGGTTACCGGTGTTCATTTCATAACTATAGCCACTGCTCCTTGTTAGACCTTATCTGGAAGGCCCATTCTTGCATATTCCAACAGCAGCCAAGGGAGCTAGCTCTCTTGGTTATGCGGATTGGGTCCGATCCTAAAAAGCTGTTTTTATGAACTGTTTTTATGAACTGTTTTTATGAACTGTTTTTATTGGATAGGATATGAATATGTTCAATAAACGAGGTTTGTGTCAATGGGAGATTGACTTGGAGTTTTTACGAGTTGATTCTAATATTTCATATACCGTATTTTACCGGTTGTAAGTCGACCCCGGTTATACATGTAGGTCGACCCCGGTTATACATGTAGGTCGACCCCCGTATCCGGAGGTCTCAATTCTGCGTTTTAAAGTTTTCACCCAACGAAGCACTACCGTTATATACCAACCACTCCCTGCTACTAACATATCAACAAATCATGTAAACATTCCTTATTGGAGGGTATAACGTCCCAATCCTTGAAAAAGGCCAATAAACTGGCAAACATGTGTACACATGGTGCACTCATGCATGCAGGGCTGGTCATTTTTTGTAAGATTCTGATAGTTCCCTGTTATAAGTCGAATCCCGGTTGTAAGTCGACCCCCACCCTTTCTCCTTCTATTTCTAGTCGTAAAAGGTCGACTTACAACCGGAAAAATACGGTATTGACCTTTGATAAATACCCACACTCATTAGTGACCACACCATCAACGGTATCAAATTCGAATAAATTAGTTGACTCAATAAATACCACTGTACTTTTCCATGCAGCACTGCACTTTTCCCTAAAAAGGAGTATTTTATAAACAGTATTTATTGGCCTAGTGGTATTTTATAAACAGTATTTATTGGCCTAGTGGTATTTTATAAACAGTATTTATTGGCTTTTGGGCCAATAAATACTGTTTATAAAATACCACTAATTCATTGCATTCCCAACTCATCACAACCACGCGCTCTTCAGCCGAACCATACAGACACCAGTGAGCTCCGACAGGGAGCGAAACAGCTGTCTAGAGGCGTGGAGCAATATTATCTCTCAACGGAAGTGTCCTTGCTGGTGTCTGTATGGTTCGGCTGAAGAGCGCGTGGTTGTGATGATTTGGGAATGCAATGAATTGAAAATATGGCCGAAAGCTCTGTCCCAAATACCACTAAGGCCAATAAATACTGTTTATAAAATACTCCTTTTTAGGGAAAGTGAAGGTCAACATATGTATAATAAATGTAGTAGCCGAAGGATTTATTGCAAGTACATACCAGTTATAAAACCTCGGGGGACCTCGGTTTTTATACTGGTATGTAATTGCAATAAATCCTTCGGCTCTACATTTATTATATACGTAATAAGTATTCGCATGCAACGACGCAAATCCACACAATTCAGTAGACACTTCTTTTCTATCAAACATTTTCTTTCCCTTCTCTTCAGGATAGTACAGGGAATGTTGTAAATTTGAAAAAACACATAACTATAATAGAGAATGAAAGAAAGAAAAAAGTCAACACTTCAACATACATGTAGGTGTTAAAATGATTTTAAAAGTGTTAAAAACTCAAAAACAAACAGCTGCAAGTTGTAGACAAACACATTGAACACATCAGGGAACACTTGTCACACTAGATATGGCATGTTCTCCATTTCTTTCCTTGGCGCTGATAGGTGGAATTCTCTGCCTGTCTCGTGTCGTCAGGTTGAGCATCTATCCGTTTTTGTTTCGCTCTGTAAAGAGCACTTAGGGTTCCCTGTAACAAGACGGCAACGTCTGTAGGGCCTTCCCTATCAAAATAATAAATTCTACTACTACTACTACTACTACTGCTTTCACGAGGTGTGACACCAAACAACTGCAACGATAACACATTCTCCTTCTGTACACATAGTTCTGGATCTAGTTTACGAATATACAGAGCTTCTAACACAGCAAGATGTAACTTAGACCTTCCACGAGTCAAAATCGAAAAGATATCATCACTATACAACTTACGACAAGCAGCTGTTTGTTTTTGAGTTTTTAACACTTTAATCATTTTGACACCTACATGTATGTTGAAGTGTTGACTTTTTTCTTTCTTTCATTCTCTATAATAGTTATGTGTTTTTTCAAATTTACAACATTCCCTGTACTATCCTGAAGAGAAGGGAAAGAAAACGTTTGATAGAAAAGAAGTGTCTACTGAATTGTGTGGATTTGCGTCGTTGCATGCAAATACTTATTACGAAACTGTTTTCCCACCGCCTCCAAACTACTAGTAGTAGTAGTAGTAGTATTTATTATTTGACTAGGGGAGTCCCAACAGGCATGGCCTTGTTACAGGGAACCCTAGGTGAATCTTTGTGAGGTGAGCAAAAGTACCAGCAGATTGTGCCTGACGACAGTTTGGAGGAAGAGTGTTCCACCGACCTGCCGCCAGAAAAGAAACTGAGCGCAGTCCATACCCAATATGTACAGTAGGTAATACTAAGGCAGCTGTATCCTGGCCACGAGTACGAGCATTTGTGTGCGGGCCAACTGAACGCAGGAGAAACAGTGACTGAAGGAGGGGGCTAGTAATTGATGACAAGCAGCGATAGACCAAAACGTATAGTTTCAAATTAACTCGTTGCTCAAACGAATACAGATGACACCGTTGTAAAACTAATGCAGTTGGGGTCATTCTATCTAAACCAAATGCCTTCTTCATCGCAATATGGCTGACCGTTACAAGCCTGTTATATAGGGTAGTTTTCAAACAGTGCACATACGCATTACTTGCATATTCTAGAGTAGACTGTATAATTGACAAGAAGAAAGTTCTCCGAGCTGTAGCTGATAAATTGCGACGGCCATGAGCAAAACAGGCTAGTTTAGCGAAGACCACTGAACACACCTTTTCTACTTGTGGGCGGAACGTTAGATGCTCATCGATTAGTATACCGAGGTATTTCACAGTAGAGACAGGGGAAATGACAATGCCTTTACAGGTCAGGTACAGGGCTGGGCTCAGTGCAGGCAGGGCAGGACGCCGTATCAACATGAACTGTGTTTTAGTGGGGTTGAGCAGAAGGCCTTTCTCATCAAGGTATTGCTCTAGCAACCGCATACTATCCTGCAAGCGTAGCATAATTGTAGCCACATCAGAGCCGAATACGTAGAACGCAATATCATCAGCGTACAGCTGCACGACACTCTGGTGAAATATATCGGGTACCCGGCGAATGTAGACGCAGAAAAGCAAAGGCCCAAGAACAGACCCCTGGGGGACCCCTCTTGTACAGGGTTTGGTGTCACCCTTCTCACCATTGACAGTAACCTGCTGGCTGCGGTTCGTGAGATAGTCTGAGAACCACTTGAGGACAGTGCCGCCTAAGCCAGTGGTGGCTAGCTCTCCCAGCAGACCTGTGTGCTGCACACGGTCAAACGCCTTGCTCATATCCGCAAAGACTA